AGGGAAAGAAGGAGAATTAGTAAATGTTGCTAGTCAGTATGGCCCATTCCTGCAGGTCTTTTTTTTCTGTGAAAGGGAGGGAAGAGAAGCTTGGTGCTTAATGTAAAATTTATTAATGTTTCTACTCTGCTGTGGAGCTGAGATTGGAAAGATTTCATTTGGAAAACTGACTTTCTCCTCTGCTACATAAAGTCATTCTACACTTGGGAGCACTTCTGGATCTGGTTGGCACAGTCCAGTTGGTCGGCCAGCCAGATGGATCATTTTGGGGAGAGAGGACTGCAGAGGAGGTGGGGGTGAGCCTACGAAACCTTTCCATTGCACTTAGTTCTGATAAAGGAGAGAGGAGTGTCACAGCTTTGTTGGCAAGTGTGGCAATGGAAGGACACCTGATCTTCCAGGAGGAATCATGTTTGAAACAAAATGATTTTTACTTTTGTCACTGGTGTATGCTGAATTAACACATCCTTTCTCAGTCTCAACACCTTGGATGAAGACAGCAGGCATCCCTGTCCTGCTTTTATTTTCTCTTGAGGGGAACACAGATGACATAATTGTAGATCGTGGTCAAAAAAAAGAACTTAAACTTTTAGGTGACATTTGGATGAGCATTGCAAGCTGATTACATTTATTTCTTTCCAATCTTTGTTGATGTGAAACTTGGAGAGCTGCTTTGTTGTGGACCTTGTTTACAGAAGTGAACTTCTGTGTGTCAATTTGCAGTAGAAAGAGAAGTTGTTTTAAGACAATCAATTGATGGGATACAGTATGTATATTTATTATCTCTGTGTGTTCTCATGTGTAGGTGGCTATTCATAGACCATACTTGGAGCTCCATCTGCTGTACAACACTTTGAGTCAAAACATTTTACAGTTTGTTAAACACCCTGTTCCTCTCTGTTTTATCAATATTGTCTTTTAGAGTAACAGTTTAGGTTGAATATGTAGTTCTGCGTTTCTCACCTAGACTTGTAGATGCGCGCATTAAAGATGAAGTTACCATGGAAATAATCTCAAAAAAAAGTGTTTAATTACCTACTTTTTAACAGTAGCTTTAGGAGGCTGCCTCCAGCAGTTCTGGATTTTCAGGAAACGGTCTAGGAGGAAGTGGGTGTATTTTTGTGTGTGGTAGGGACTTCTCATTCATTAGAAGATCAGGACTTAAATTGGATCTCAAAGTTTTATAGCAGATAAATCTCATGAGATTGTCTGTTCATTGACTCGACTGTTCTCATGAACTTCTACATACACCACTAGCTGCAGTTGTTTTCATCTCTTTCGTTTTCACCAGCGAATTAAGGGCTTTGTCCCTGGCAATTGCATTTCTGGTTGGTTTTTTTGTTGTTGTTTGTTTTGTTTATTCTTGTTGACATCTTAATGAAACTTGAGGAAATAATTTTGTGTGTTTGGGATTTCTACCGTCTTTTATGTCAATGGGATTTCATGTTAAATCAGAGGGAGTTGTTGGTGCTGAGTGTTCGGTACAGAAAGCTAAAGGCTGCTTCTGGAAGTGGATGCTGAATTCCTGTGTATCTGTTGCTTGTGAAAGGTCAAGAATAACTGCCTGCCTTGTAAACTTGCAGAGATTTTACAATCTGAAAGTAAATTGAGAATTATTCATTTAATGCTTAGCAATATGTCTTTAAAATTCAGTGCATCTCCTGAGTGTGATTATGGTGTTACTAACCTGAAAAATACAGATGGCAGAAAAGAGCTTTCCTGTAGATTAATCCCAAAGATTAGAGACTGAAAATTCTGTTAAGATCCATGTGACAAGAAACAGAAAATGGGGAAGGAGCAGAGTTAGGGAATAAGTAATAATTCTCCATTTCTTCCTGCATTCTGAAACTTGTTTTCATTTATGTGAAGCCATTGTCAAGAGAGAAACTAATTATCATTAACCAGAAATAATCAGGCTCTAATCCTGAATGGGATCTGCCACAGCTGCTGGAAAGAAGCTGTTTCTTTTCAGATTCTTTTGTGTCTCATTACAAATCCTGCCCCTTCCTCGCTTTCCCCTACCCTCTAAAGAGAAGATTGTGCGGTGGTTTTCATAGGACGAAGTATAAATTATTGATTGATGTGCTCTTACCTAGTGAGTTACACCAGACTGAGCCATTAAGCAGTGTGATGTGCGTAGCTAAAACAAAACAATGGAAGGAGAGAAAAAAAGTCTGACGGTTGAAGTCAAATAGTAGGATTTGAAAATGAGCTACTTCTTGCTGCTAGGCTGTCATATGCTTTGGCACGGGACATAGGTCCAAAGGCTTGTATTTTCTGATAGACTTCGATCTACTTTTGTTTCACTCATCCTGACCCTGGTTTTCTGTGTGTCTGTGCTCAAAGTTGGCGCATAAAGGTAAAGGTTCGTTTCAAAAAATACCGCCTCTTTAGGCTGCCAACAGCGAGCAGTCAGATGTGCTG